ATCAAATCCGTCAAGAATGGAAGACGGCATCTGATGGAAAATGAAAGATTATAAAATCTTTCTATTGGTCAATCAGGACGCGCCAGGTGGCACCATCCGAAAAGGAAGCCAATGCCACCCTCTCCTATAAATAGGAGCCTTGGCCAATTCATTACAGACCGAAGTTACATCGAGGATTCAAGTAAAGAGGTAAGTTTCTAGACTCTCTCTGTATTGTTCTTCGTGTCCTTCGAAGCGTTCTTCGTCGAAAGTCACTAATTTGGACAAATGATCCAATATTGGTTGACGAATCGATGAAGTTAATGTTTTTCGTCGTATGTCCAAGCCGGAGAAAGGATCAAAGCTCCCAAAGCCATCGAGGAATCCATCAAAGCCAAGAAAGAGCCTCCGAAGTCGCTCCCCAAGCTTCAAGATGTTCATCGCGTTCTTCATCAAAGGCGCAAACTCGGCCCTCTTCGATCCAAAATTCAAAGGGACACGCCGCCAAAAGCGTTATGGAGCACCAAATTTACCCCTTAAAAGACCAAATTCCGTCAGATCATCCAAATGAGGCATCAATCCAAAATCGACGATCAAAATCGCCAACACGGATACCAAAGCCCTCCAAAAGCCGGCAAAGCGAAATCGAAGACCAAAATCCTTTCGGATCAAAGAAGCCACCCAAATTCAAGTTGGAAAAATGGATCGACTCGGAAGATAATCAAAGGATCCGAATAGAGAATAGGACCCGCATATATTTAAATTAAATGTAATTTGTACGATTTTGTGTTTATTAAAAATATAACACAATTTTTTTGTCTACAATATGTATAATATTTTTGTGTGCCGAGTAAAAACAAAAATAATTATGATAAAATAGAACAATGTTTTGTTTTTCAATGTGTTGTAAGGGCAGTTATATATAATACAAATTTTAAGTGGTCGGTAAAAACAATTGTGATTATACATGTTATATTTTTATTGTGTGCTAAATAAAATTTGTGGGCATACGCCGTTTAACATTTTATTGTTTGAGTGTGTTTGTAAGCAATTTCACATTATACTACTTTTAAGCAAAAAAAGTATGATTGGTAAAAAGAATTGAATGATAGTATATACACATTTTATTTTTCTATTTTTTCAATAAAAACATAAATAGTCTGTGGGTGGGTGATTAGCATTTGATTATTTAGTAGCACATGATACATATGTAAGTGAAAAAGTGTAGTCGGTGACAAATGACTAGGATGCTAGTTTACTCGCTTTATTGTTCAGTGTGTAGGATACAAAATTAAACATTAGGATAATAATACGTAGGCAACGTAATTTAACAGTATATTATTGTTGGATCCTGTGATTCGGAATTCCAAAATAGCTCGTCGATTTCGTTGGTGTGGTTTCCGGAAGTACTCCAAAGAGCCAATCCGTTGTCGGGCAATGCTGATTTCAGAGATTGATCGAACTAAACTACGATTAACTACGGAAAGCGAGTAAATAAATTGCAGAAAGCATCTAAACGGAATTAAATTGCATAAACGAAAATAAAACAGGAAAAAAAAAATGAAATAGACGAATTGTTCTGTTATGCGTGTGTGTTGTGTTTTTTTTTCCTAATTGTAGTTCTAGGCTAGAATAACCACTTCTCCCACTAACAGGGGTGGTTACAATTATTTCCACTTCTTTCTACTTCTCTTAACTATCAAATAACCTCCTTTCATCAGTTCCCAGCGGCTTCCATTGCTCCTGGACCGGGTTCCATTCGTCTTGAGCATCTTCCCTCGTTCCTGGACCAAGTTCCATTCGCTTTTGATCTCTTCCATTGCCTTCAGATCAGACCTGCAGCCTACTCTGATTCGTTTCCATCATACTCCCAACCGGTCTATGGGAATATGTTCCCAACAGCCTTGAGTTACATGGAACCCTCACTCCTCATGGTCTTCCATTAACGTCATGGGGTTGCCGATTCAGAGTTGATGGAGCTTGTCGTCCGAAGGTCTATGGAAGTCATATCTTCTTGTTCCATGGAAGCTGCGCAGTTTGATGAAAGTCCTTATTTTCGACATTTAAGTCCTTTTGGACTTGGGATCCAACAATTATATAGCGTGCTTGTAAGCCATTTCATGTAACAAAGTCCAGAAGTATAAAATTGTGGTTTGTATAAACAACTATGATAATAATATGTTTATATGTTGGCAGTTTAGGATTTAATTTTCCAATGTGCCTGTACACAGTTTCATATATTATAATTTGTAGGTGAAAAACTATGATGATATTTTATATGAATTTAGGGTTTGTTTGGTTGCAGTTTGAAATTGATTGAAATAAATGTTTTATGTGTTGGATATTATGATAGTAGTTTAACATTTTATCTTCCGGTTCTAAGCGATTTCACATAATAAAATATGGTGGATTAATTTAGTATTTCAAATATAATTTTAAAGTGTTATGTGTGCTCAATAAAAGAATATATATACAATATAAATTTTTAAAATTTAATAGTATAATATATCATTGTTAAATAATTTTAAAATTAAAAAATTTCTATCATTAAGATTTGTCTTTTTAAAAGGAAAAAATTGTAATATTCACCCGACAAAAATTTTCAATATAATTTTTTGATTAATATTATTAAAAAATATAATCAATATATTCTGTATACTCAATAATTCAATATGAAATATTATCTTTTATATAAAAAATATCTTAAATTAAAACCGCTTAACAAACAAATTCTAATATATAAAGAGAAATAAAAAATAAAGTAAAAATAATATGTAAACGAAAATGTATGCAAATAAATTCAATAATTCAATAGATTTGCAATATAAACAAACAGTAAGAAAAAGTATCTAATTAGCTACAGTATATTTAACTACAATTTTTATTTAGTTAAAACGGGTTATTTAGCAACAAAAATTAATTTCATCGCAGAAATAAATTATGTACTACAAAATTAATTTTGTAGCTAAAATTTTTTTAGTAGAAAATTCCATCTTCGTAGTAAAAAAGTTTTAGCTACAAAATTATTTTTTATAGCTAAAAATCATTTGGCTAAAAACGTCATAATATTTTGTTATTAAAATTCTTTTGTTATGAATTTTAATTTTATAGCGAAAGAGCTTTAACTACGAAATCATATCTTCGTAGCTATATTTCTAAACTTATTTTTTTTTTTACAAAAATCATATTTGTTGCCAAAGATCTTTAGTAATGTAGTATAGATGACAAATTGCAAAAAAAATTTGCTATAAATTATTACCTTTTGCTACAAATTTTTTTTTTAGCTAAATTTCAACCTTTTTTTTAGTGAATTATTTAATGTTGTGTTAATATGTTTTATAATAAAATAAATAATTTTTTATACTTTCAATTAAATTAGTATGTGATCCTTGCAACATATTGAAAAATTGTTTTTTACCAAGTTATTCCAATTTAGCTCAGCTGTACCACTTGTTAGTCCAACAATTATGAAACTTATGCTAAATCAAAGCTAATGTTTCCAAATTTTTATTTCAAAGACCAAGAATTTGAATAATCATTTGAATCATACCCCAAATATCACTTCAACTCACACATTCTTTCATAATTCAGTAAACAAAGCGATTTTATTGTAAAAATTACTAAATATCTTTTTTACACTCAAATAAAGCAAATTTGACCTCCAATTAAAGTTAAACGATATTTCGAACATCTCAAATTAAACAACAAGAAGAAAACAAGCTCTAAGGAGAGCAAAAAAATTTTCGAACACACTACACAGTTCTTCGCCAAAATATAGAGCTTATAACTTTAAAATATTATATAAATTCCATTTTTACACTCAAACGAAGCAGGTCTCTAATTGAAGTTCACACATATATTCACATCTAAAAATATATCTACATATTTAAACATTTCAAATTAAACAAAAAGACGAATACACGTTCCAAGGTGGATAGAAAATTGTCTTTACACAGTATACAATTTTTTGGCCAAAATATAAAGCGGTCGAGCTCCCCAGCGATCTGTTATTTGAACAGCACCTCAATCATATCATTGAACTTCCATTGCATCCGCATCAGCATCAGCATCTGCTTCAGATGGAAGTGTAACTCAGCTAGATTCTTCGACATCAGCATCCTTCCTCTTCAGATTCCTCCTTGGCCTTCTGCGCTTCATACTGCTGCAGACAACATACCCCCTCGTGAATACATAGTTTGATATAGAGTAAATGTTTGACAAAAACAAACCGAAATATTGATGACAAGTGATGAAGATTTCTTTCGAATTCAGTAATTCATCGATAAAAGAATAATCTTGAAAATGCAGCCACTTGGTGTATTTTGAACCAGTAAGGAGTAACACGGGAAATATATCTTTATTGAAATTAAAGGCTGTGTTTGTCTCTATTTACTGTTAGATTCATTTTCACCTAAAGAGCCACAATATCCAACAACTATTTTTCTATCAAAACATAACATACCAATCAATTTAACATTGAAAACTTATTTCTCACTTGCATATCCAGCACCCCCAAAGCTTTCAAAGCACAAACTCACCCTAATTTTATTTTTTTCATATTGAAGAAGAATAGAAGCTTGATGGAGATGGGACATAGCTTGCATAAGCAATGTGCTTTTCGACGACTTCTTTCCCTTCATCATCAATGCTAAACCATTTCTCGTCCAAGGTAAGGGAATCCCCATTTCCAATATCTGTTGGGAGTAATAGTTGTCAAAAATAAGCTTTAGGTATAAGCATTAGGTGATAAAAATTACAAAACATAGATTACACGACTTACTTTGATGCAGTACTTCCGAATACTCCTAACATTTCAATTTCCAGTACACATGGCCACCAGAGCCAACCAGTATTGGCTTTGTTCTTACAGCATCTGAATTTTTAGTTTCTACAAAATTTTAGTGTAAAATAAATGTTTTAAATAACATAAAGTTACAACGAACAAAAAGTAGGAATGTGATTAAATGGCAATGTGCAAACAAAAATAGTATGAACATACAAAGGGACTATAATATACTTACTCTTTGAAAGCATGCCCTTTCACTTGAGGACCTCAGCCCGAGCCTGCTCCATCTCACATTTGGTACCAGAAACAACGGCTTCATGCTCCGAAATGGAAAGCGGGGCACCCTCTTTGACAGAAATTGCTTGGGCAATATCATCTTTCATTTTCTGCTTCAACTGCTTCTCCTACATAAAGTTCAAGTATCCGAGAATGAAAAATCTGAGAAGCAGAAGTCAAGGTTAGAAAATTATTTACCAATATTTATTACCTTATCCATTCCCGCATTAATTTTTTGTTTAGCTTCCTTGACCTTGCTGGAAAGTTTTGCATTATCTTCTTCCATCAAACTCCTCATTTTTCTATCAAGTGAAAAAAAAAAAAAAATGTAGATTGTAGACATGTGAACTTAAAAATTTATCACAATGAAAAATGAAATATAAGGGAAACAATACTTACTCGGTTGCAAGGGCTTCATCGCAGAGAATGTTTATAAGCCTAAGCTTTTCCGAAGCAGTGAAAGTATCATAATTATCTGTGGTCTCCAGAGAATCAACTCTCTGTGCTTTAAGAACACTTTGGGATGGAGACAAGCATTTCTTGAGCACATTAAACCATGAGTTCTCCCTATCTGATGTGCTGAGCTCCACAGACCTATTCAAGAATAAAAAAGCAACCAATTGTCAAGTCATTGAGGTAAATGAAATACAGGAAAATTTTGTGGAGCGGCAACACATACTCTTCCCCTTGATGCTCCAGTAAATGGGAGAGGAGGTTAACATGAAACAGGACATTAGAAGAAATATTTCCTTTGCGTCCAGTTCTGACATTATAAATATCTTGAAGAATAAGTTTTGCTTGCTTCTCTTTAATATCCAACACCTGTCCACCCGAAACCAAAAGAAACAATGAGAAAAGAAAAGCAAATACAAATATAGTATCAATAGGCAAACATGATTAACTTTCTATTAACCAATGTGATTAACCATCACTATCATATTAGCTCAATAAAATGAAAGATAAATGTTGGTTATCATGTAAATATCATAAATGTTATTGATATGTTTTAGGTGACCAAAGGACAAGGCAATAATATACACATGGTGTCAGAACTAAGTAAAATGAACATTATTAACACATAAATAGCACATAAGGATACTTGCCTCGCCAATAGAAGCACAAAATTCCATCAACTGAATGGCATTCCCAGCATCTTCTGTGGGTAAGTCAACTCCACCCACACTGCTCACCGTTTCTCCCTCTGGCAGGGGAAGACCACATGAACCATTCCCTTCAGGATCATGTTTTGTACCACAATCTGGCTTTCTTTTCTGACGAGTATAAGGATCAATTGACTTCTTCTCGCCAGAGGTAGAACCCTCTCCTCGGACAAACGGGCCTACAAATCTCAAAGGGAGAGCATATTATCAATCTGGCAACCAAAAATCAGATTCCGAAGCTACCTTTTCAGTAGCTCTCTCTTGGGGCGTCATTTTAACTAGCATTTCAGCGACTGAGGAAAATCCCCTAGCTTTTGCTTTCTTTGCGGCAACACCAGTGGGATTATCATTTCTTTTTCTCCTCTCAATGCATAATTACGCCATCAGAAAAATGCTGCAAATTAGTCATTCAAAAATAATTCAGAAGACTCACATGCAAAAGCTGCAGTTGCAAATGCCCCTGCATTTGGGGCAAGTCCACTGCTCCAAACTCACTACTTCTTCAGCCCTCTCGCCGTATCTAACTTGGAAAAAATCATCAAAATAACTTTAGATTATACAAATATACAATAAAGTGTTGAATTTAAAATTATCATAATGAAAAGGTGATTCAAATAAACCTGTTCAGAGACACTTGTGACAATACATAATCGGGCATCGTTTGGTAATCCTCTGAAACTTGCATGCTACCACAAGATCCAGGGTCTTCTGCCAACACTTCCAAACGTCAAGCATAAAAATTCGAGAAAATGAAAACAATTTAGAGAACTTGTTTCACAGAAGATAAGTCATAAAAGCTTCACCAAGCATATTAAAGCCACAGGAAAAGAAGCAAGAAATTAATAACCGACTAAATGTGGTGACTTGCCACACTAGATAATTTATTTTTCCACACTAGTTGTCTCAATCTATGAATGATCTGCGCATAATCTTCTCCTCTCACTCACAATATGCTTTCTTGTATGCCAGGATTTAAAGCTATCACAACAGGTAAACTATTCAAGATTCAGTAAATGTACTCCTACATTCCGTAAACTACTCCACTTCTAATTTAATGCATAACGACAAATAAGAGCCCAACCGATAACCTCCATGTTCACTATTTGCCTGAATCTTTCAAGACAGGCTTACAACATGCTTCAAGATCAACGAAAGGTAATGTAAATCTTTAAACTGTCCAAATCAAGAAAATCAGGTTACTTCACCATTTGATCTCTATATTTAATTTCACATTAATTGCATTACGATCCAAATTAACAAGTAGAAAATGTTATTTACCTACAAGCTCCTTGCAGCACATCAATCTCACAATCAATCAAGCTTACTTGCATCAGTGCATGCACCACAATTACCACACAAATTAGAACACATCAAAAGTCCACAAATCAAACAAACAAATTCAGCCCCAATTTTACCCTAAACCCTCACTCCAACTAAACAGCAACTGAATGCAAATGAATGAATAATACCTGATGGCAAGTCTTCCGATTGACGGGATCATAAATCCAACTCTCCACCTTCCTAACCCCGGGTGCAGTGTTGCGCTTCCTAGGTGGTGGAACAACACTGCCCTGTCCGCCGTCATTGAGGTCGCCATTTTTTCCGACTGAGAGACACTTGGAGGAGTGAGAGGATGATGGTCGATCCAAACATGATATTGTTGGTCTGTATATGTTATATATATATATATATATATAAGAAAATAAAAGATAATGTTGTTACATGTATAAATTTAACGTAATACAAACATATATTATTCGTGTAATATCCTTTATGCAATTTAACATATTATTTCAAAATTTGAAATTACTATTTTGGTGTAATTGGCAAATACAATGTTTTTTGTTCTCTGTATAGATTAAAAATAGAAATATATTATTTTAAATTTCAAATTATTATTTTGGTGTAAGTGGTAAGCACATTTGGATACAATTTAAATTTATTTTTTTGATGTAATTGGTAAATACAACTTGATAAGCATTTTATTTTCTCTATATCGAGTAAAAATTGAAATAATTAGTGGATAGTAATAAAATTTATTACTATGTATAAATAGTATATGTTAGTTATTTTGTTGTTATTGGATTTATTCAAAGATAAAGAATGCGCGTAGGGTTGCGCTCGAGAATGCCTATACGATTTTGAACAAAAAAATTAATAGAGAACACACAAGCAACCGATGTGGTTGGCAAAACAGCCGAGTTGGATCCGGGTCGGGCTCCTTGTTCCGATTCTGTTACAAGAAACACAATAGAAAGGCCAAAAAAGGGAAAGAAGAAGATGATGAGAGTGAGGATCCAAGAGAGGAAGGAGGAGAGGAAGATGGGAAATTGGGAACTAGGTTTAAGGTTACTGGGTTTGGGGTTAGGGTTATTGACATTTTGGCTTGGACTTAAAAATGAGGTTAAATTTGGGGTATTTTCTTTACTACACGATCCATAATTGATCTATTTTATATCTCTTGTGTTTTTTATTAAAATTTTATCAAATATATAATATTTATCAATTTTTAAAAAGACAAATCAAATTAAAATTATTTATTTTTTATATATAACATAACATCAATATTTATTTATATTATATTAGACAATTATTAAAATTTCAAACACAAATTCAAATCCTCAAACAAACACACCCTTAATATATACTATATAATTTAAGTATAATATAAAACATAAAAACATATACTTCGTCCAACTCTAAAAATCTTATTTTTTTTTAAAAAACATAAGTACATTTGTAAAAAAAATAAAATTATAGAAATATAAATATATTAGTTGAATCACGGGAATATAGACACATCAAACAACAAACAAACTTGACTGAGCTCTCTCTATTTGTGTTCAATCCCCCCTTTTTACTCTACTTTTGTCAAATTGTCATGCATTTTATTGCTTATTTATACACTTTGTTCATATATATATATATATACTTCAAGTTTAATTTGATTAATGTGTCATTTTTTGGTCGGATTAACACGATTGAAATCATTTTTCTCATCAAATGCGTTCAGTATGAAATATCTATCCTAAAGACTTTTTAAATTACCTAAAAGTCTCTTACCCCATTCTTTCGGCCAAACCTCATCATAGGTTGTCCGAAGAGAAAATTTGAATTCCAAATACTAATATAAAAAAAAATAAAAATAAAATCAACATGTAAAAAAAAGTAAATAAATACTTTCTTTCGAAATGGATGAATTATAAAATTCTATTTGAATATATATATATATTGATATTTGACCGGTATATTCTAATGATTCATTGATGAATCTATAACAATCTAGATCGATCCATGACCACGATTTGTCATGGCAAACCGGCTTGGGCGGGTAAGGGCAGCAGTAAAAAATAAAAATAAAAATAAATACTTATTATAAAAAGTCAAAATGTTATTACAGAAAATAAAAAGTCAAAGTCTCTAAAACAATACTCTATTTATATATTTTTTTACATAATTTTTCATACTACGTACCAAATATTATTTCATCTAAGTACTTTGTGAACAGACTCCATATGTATGTAAGGTGGTTCAACATTTTAATTTCTAATATGCTAAGTAATTTTACGAAATACATGTGGATCGTAAAAACAATTGCAGTGACAATTTATATCCATGTTATTTTTGGATCAAATAAAAACAATTAATATAACGACTTGTGGACGGGCAATTTAACGTTTTATTTTTTAGTGTGCTTGTAAATAGTTATTCAACTGACAATCTATGCGAGTTCTATATTTTTATATATTGGATAAAAAAAAATAATTAGGATAACAATCCTTGTGTGAACTAATTAATATTTTACTTTTTGATGTGGTTGAATAAAACAAATACAACGGTCTCACATAATATAATTTATTAACGATTTTACTCTTTTTATTTATATATTTATTTTGTGTGTATTGTGCCTTTTATAATTTCATTCAAACTTTTCTATGTGATAGATTAGTAAAAATAGTTGGAATAATAGTTAATACATATTTTATTTTCCAATAAATATATATATATATTTTTTAGATCAGCCTTTTATGAATGGCTGGTGGTTTGGCGGATGTTCATCAGACATGCAAACAAAAAGAACAATCTTGAGAATGCAACCACTAGGGTGTCTTTGATTAGAGGATTTTTTAAAATTTTCACTATTCAATAATTTTTTTTTCCAAAAACAAAAACATCAATCAATACTTACTTTTTATTTTTTATATTATACTAAAAATCATTTAAGATTCAAACTATTCAAATTCAAATACATATTTTTCATTTTTTATATCACATCATACAAACTATTCAAATTCAAAATTTTTACTATTCAAATCTAACTCAAATTCAAACCTCCAAACAGCCACATCAATGTATTTTGAGAGTAACAAGGGAAATATATGTGTATCAAAAGGTTGTGTTTTTGTCTCAATTCTAGTTATTATTATCATACTGTTAAAAATTTTTCACAACTGAAAAGCCACAACATCAACAACTCTTTCTTAATAAAACATAACATCCAAACTGTTTCACATTCAAAATATTAAGCGACTTACTTTGATGCAGCACTTCAGAATCTCGCAAACAGTTTGATTTACAGTACACATGGCCACCAGATCCGACCACTAATGGCTCTGTTCTTACAGCAGCTGAATTCTTAGTTTCTACAAAACATCATCCAAATTCCAAAACCTATTTCATATAATAAAAGGAATATAACTGATTCCATTTCTGCTACTGGGGTGCCGGGAAGGAATGCGGAGTGTTGATCTCAGAGAAGCCATGCCAATCAACGGAGAACACGAGGGTTGCTGACGGAAGGTCAATGAAGGATGCGCGGCGCCGCCGGATACTTCGTATGGCTAGGCTTTCAGGGTCTCGGTATGTGTGATTTATAAATGAGTTTACCCTTTTGGACATATAAATACCCTGATAATGGTGAAAAAAGCAAAAGGGGTAAATCCTTATTTCAAAGTTTAAAATCGCGCTTTAAGAAGGCATGCGTTTTTGAAGGACTATGCCACGTCATTAACAAGAGAAATAACTTTTAGCGCACGTGGCAGTCCATGTGAAAAATAGGAAATCATGCATGCAATTCGAAGAAGCTACCTTTCTTTGCAGCAAATTTGCTTGCAGGGCGTCGTTCTAAGTAGCATTTCAGATACAGAGGAAATCTTCTAGCTTTTGCTTCATTGGTGAGAATACCAGCGGGTTAGGGTTAGTGACATTTTGGTTTGGACTTAAAAAAAGAGGTTAGATTTGGGCTGAAACTCGGTTGGATTTTAAGTTTTCTATTTTTTTTATTTTATTTATAAAATGTGTTATGATACATTATTTTAATATCAAATTGAATTTTCACATCTATTTTTGAATAATAAAATTTTATAATTGAAATAATTGTATTATGTAATTAATATATTTTTTACTGTGTGTGTTTTTATAGAAAATTTTATCAAATTTATAATATTTATCTATTTTTATATTATAGTATTAATTTTATATTTAAAACATCGTATCAATATCTATTTATATTAACATTAACATCATGCATCTGTTCAAATTTAAAATTTTATTATTTTAAATTTTAAACACAAATTCAAATCCTCAACCAAGTACAACATAAAAACATATATTTAATTTAATATTTTTAGAAACAAAAATTTAGTTGAATAATAAAAAGGAATAAAAAGTTGGAAGGAAATTGATCACAGAAGTACAGACACATCAAACAACACACAAACTTGATTGAGGTCTCTCTATTTTTGTTCAATCCTCTTTTACTCTATTTTTGTCAAATTGTCATTTATTTTATTGCTTATTTTCAATATTATTTTTAAATTGCGATTCTTAAAAAATAATAATAAACATATATAAAATATTTTATACAAAAATCAGAAAGTAAAAGAAAAAAATTTAATATTAATAATAAAAAATCAAAAAGTCATTACAAAAAATCAAAAAGTCAAACATTCAACTTAAAATAATATTATATTTATATATTTTTTTACATAGTTTCTCGTACCGCATATAAAAAATTATTTCATATGTAAATGATGTGTGAACGGACTCAATATGTATGTAAGGTGGTTCAAGATTTTATTTTCTAATGTACTAAGTAGTTTTACAAAATACATGTGATTGGTAAAATAATTGCATTGACAATTTATATCCATTTTATTTTTTATGTATTGGATCAAATAAAAAATAATTAGGATAGCAACTTGTAGATGGACAATTTAACATTTTATTTTTTAGTGTGCTTGTAAATGGTTTCTCAACTGACAAACTATACGAGTTTTATATTTTTATGTGTTGGATAAACAAAATAATTTGTATAACAATCCGTGCGTGGGGCTGTTTAATAGTCGAATAAAACAAATACAACGGTCTCATATAGTACATTTTATTAAGGATTTTACTCTTTTTATTTATTTATTTATTCTTTGTATGTATTGTGCCTTCTATAATTTCATTCAAAATTTTCTATGTGATAGATTAGTAAAAAATAGTTGGAACAATAGTTTATACACATTTTATTTTCCAATAAAAAAATATATATTTTTTTAGAATCAGCCTCCGATAAATGACCCGTTTTGTCTAATCTCATTGCTCCAATTAAAGCAACCAAAATAAACAAATTAAACTCAATTAAATATAAAAAAAAAAGTTAAAATCATCTGAGGATGAAAAAATTCAACCAAAACAAACAAACAAATTAAAATCAATTACATATAAAAAAATTAAAATAATTTGAAGATAGAAAAACTCAAAATAAATCAACCTCAAAAGCCACGTACCATAGAATCAGAATCAGAATTAATCAAAGAAACCCTAATCACAAAATAAACCATAATCAAAGCCTGAATATATATCTTTTCCTACTTCGTAAGCACCCACAAAAGTAGAAACTTGCAAAACGCTTAGATGATACAAATGAGAGGGACTCTACCGTGTTGTGCAATATTTTAGAAAGATTCTTTTATAGGGAGGGAGGTTCTTTTATAGACGAATCTAGAATGTTCCGATTCGTTATTCTACTATCTTCCAAAAAGATTCTAAAATATTCCTAGATACTTTAGTTAAGTTTGAATGAACGTTTATCGCTATTGTTCATATTTTTTAGAGGGTTAAAGAGATAGTTCTACAATATATATAATTTTTATTTATTTATTTATATTGTAAATTTATTCTAAACTATTTATTATTATTATTATTATCTAATATCTTTAACTACTATCCTATGATTTACTATATTTATATTATTAAATACATTTCTTTATGTATTTTTTAATTACTCTATTAATTGTATTTTATATGTTTTATTTTATTAATATTAATTATATATATTACTTTAATAATTTTATAATTATTGTATTTTAATTGTGCTTGATTTTTAATTTAAATATAAAACCACGCCACAACCCACAGTTCTAATAAAAATATATTCTTTTCCTTGTTTTATTTCTTTTCTTCAATTGCATTTATTGATTTTAAATTCTTTTTGCTATATTTTAGTTTGCTTAAAACTTAGTACATAGTTTGTTTTCTATCATATATCCGATCCAGTCAAGAGCAGCAATTCAATTTATTTGCTTTCCTTCCATGCACAATCTCATTGCCTTCTTTGTTTTTTTACTTGAATATCGTTACCAAATTCATGCATATTTTCTTTTATCGAATCCAATTCAGTCTTATTCGTACATCTATTTTCTTTTTCATTCACAATCCAGTAAATTAATTTTTACGTATTTACATCTATTGCGAGACTAACCAGGATACTTTCTTGAGTAGGCCGAGAACCCAAATTCTTGTCGATTTCGACCGACCTAAATTTTTTGGGCCGTCATCGACCAAATTTCAGCACAACAATAGTATATTAATGTGATATTTAAAATTGATTTGTGTTTAAAATAAAAAATATACAAACTTTTATTTAATATAAAATACTTTTATTTTGAATCATAAAAGGGAAAATATATATATATATATTGTGAATATAATATAATATTACAATACTTTTATAGTATATGTGTTTGTTTAAGGGTTTTGGACTCTGGGTTTGGGATTTAAATTGATTTTTTTTTTAATTTAAATAGTTATATGATGAATATAAATAACATGTAAAATTACTTTTTAGTGTAATATAAAAAATAAAAAAATAAATCAAGAATTTGATATTTTGGGGCAAAAATTTTATGAATAGTGAAAGTTTGGCAAAATATTTCAAGAGAACAAAATCTAAAAATATACTATTTTCTCTCACTAAACATCACTACAAAATACTATTTAAACAAAAATTCAAATCAATTTCAACCCATAATAAAACAAACCCAACGAACATAATGAAAACATGCTAAAGAATGGACTCCCCTTGGTTATTTTACATTAACGTCAATTCCAACTCTTGGATTATTATTTTTAAGAATATGTCGCAACTTTTTTTTAAAAAAAACAAAACATATGATACAAGAATAATAAATCATTGTGGACCATATATATAACAAGATAGGAAAATGATTGTGCAACATAGTAATTATCAATAAATCAATGTCACTTCACTGAAAGTACAAAAAAATGTTTGTCGTTGTTGATCCAGATGCACCATCACATTTTGGGAGAAGAAAATAAAATGTATATATACAAATATATGTTTGGATGCAGAAAGGAACATGATCTTAAATTTTAAAAATAATAATAGATAGAATAATTAAAATATGGGAAAAAAAAGACCAAAAAAATTAGAAGGTTTAATGTTAAATTAAAAAAAAAAACACTTGTCACCATTTAATTGATATGGCGGGAGGGGCTAAATTGCACTGAGGCTAAGGATTTCCATCCCACATTCTATAGACTCATTTTTTTCTTCTAAAACTTTACATAAAAGAAAATTATTATACTATGATATCAATTCTAATGTAAAAAAATTATATAATGCAAATGAGAGTTTGAAGGAGCTTAAAGTTACATTGGAATATAAGATAGAGTTTTTTGAAATACTCAATCATTAACATTGCTGCATATACATTGCTTTAGAACCTGTGCTGCATTGGCCTCGCCACCACCGCCATGCTTTACGAAACATCTCATGGCAAACACACATTGTTATGAGATTGTAACTGCTCCGATAACCATGGACAAAACCAAGAAGAGGCTTGGAAGGGCACTTGACCCCCAAGCCTAAAAACAATATAAATTTTAATATAAAAGGTAAAATTTTTAAGTTTAATATATGAATTTTGCCCCCTCCCCCCTTCCCGTTTTCTCTTTTATTTTATTTTTTATTTTATTATTTTAAATTTATAACAATCTATAATATTTTTAATTATAAATATATTATATAAGAATACATGTTTTGTTCATCTAAATAATATTTCTTTTGGTTCAATTTTAAAGGTATATAATATAAATTATATTTTCTCATAAAAATTAAATTTTTTATCTAAAATATTAACCTTGTACCATCTTCTTTTCAATCAGTTTTTTTTTTTTTTTTTTTTTTCTCCACTATGTTGTCAAAGGATATCAACGATGTTAAGATGACATCAAATCGATGGAAGTGAACCAAGTTCTTACAAATTTTTTTTTTATAGTTCAAATAAGGAACGGCGGTAGAAAATGCACTAACGAGAAAACTTTGCCTCCGGAGTTTTGAACCTAGTTTCGTCAGTGCCGGTAACTCTACAAGATTCCTTAGATATTGGGGCAGTTGGGCCATATCCTCTGGTAGCGACAGACATAGGGAATGTCGAATACTGGCTGCCTCTAGCTGCCATCCTCACTTGGTTTGTTACCAGCAATCTCGACTACATGCAATTGAACAAGAGAAATCATTACCACTTGCCTTCTATCCCATGTTAGAGTCGAACACAGAACCTCA